TTGAACCATTAACCTTTCATTTAGCATCCAAGCACTGAGCCAATGGGCTCCTTTTATAAAGATTACATCCTGGAGAACCCGAAGGGACAGCTGTACTCTGTCACATGGGGACACTATGAATCACTATTAAGTGATGGTGCTAGGAGTTAAACTACGCAGTTTGAATGGGGAGGAAGGGTTCTAACACATACAAATATGGTATTAAGTTACTCAAAGTCAAACTTGGTGAGCTCATGACTTCAGTAATCTACAGATTACTGTACAGAGGAAATCATAAAATCCACAAAATGTTACATGTGGAAGAGGTTTCTCCACAAGCTATTTGCGAGCGTACTTCTTCCTGATTAACAACAAGTGACCTTGCGTACATCTCATCTACTCTTGTATAGATACCAACCTAAGGAACTCAGATTAGCAATTCTAATAATCTCAAGGCCTATAATTTGGGGGACTAACTGCCCTTTTAAAAAAAAAAAAACAGAATGATTACAGTCTTGAGTACCACCACATGAAAGCAAAAAGTGTTAACAGAAGCCCCGCTCCTACAGGGCTCCTGCCTGGGGGCTTAATTTTCCAAATGCTTCTCACATCAATGGCACAATGAGGGGCCAACTCATTGTGAGTGAGTTTACAGAGCCAGGCAGATTTGAACCTCCCCCACCAGAGGCTCATCATAAGTGACTTTGTCACCTAAACTGCCCTTGCCACTCAATCAACTGTGGGGAGTAGTCTGTGTTCCAGTTATCCAGGCTGTCACATTTCAGAAGCAGACAGCCAGGCAATTCTTCCAAGGTGCCTTTGGGTAGGACTGAACCCCCAATCTTTCAGTTAGTAATTGGGCATTTATCCATCTGTGCTACCCAGGAACTCCCAAGTGGCAACAGGCTTTACCATATGGACTTATTACAACAAAAATTTCCTAAGACAAGACTAAGTGTGTAAAAATGTTTTACTCTGCAAAAGTGGCTTATTCAAATTTGTGTTCTACGCATCACTGCGCTAAGTAGGATTTAGTTTTTGTTCTTTTTTTCTCTCCCAAGCAGAAAATCCTCATCAAACCAGGGAACTGAGTGGAAAGTCTCAGATTCCACCAGCTCTTCTCAGCTTTCAAATCTTCCCAGTCCCATCCTGAGTAGAAACAAGTTTTGAGGACTATTTCAATAGTAACCTTTATGTTATTAATGTGTTTGTTTCTTAATTAAGGTGCTATTAAGCCAGTTTTCTTCTTATATTACCCCAGCTGTTGCTTTACACTTCTGGAACAAATTCTTACTTTCTAAAATTTGTTATCTTTCTAAACAGAAGGCAATTGTTTTTAAAAGAGCATGATTTTCTTCCTCACTTCTATGGTAGTCAAGAAATCTAACAATGTATTACATTGTGCATATTTGCACAAGATCTCTTTTAAGTGTTCAAGAGCAAAGATACCAGTTTGAGGACTAAGGTACACCTGACCCAAACCATGATTATTTTCAATAGCCTCATATGCATGGGAAAGTTGGACCATGAATAAGGAAGACTGTAGAAAAATTGACGTATTTGACTTTTAAGTGTTAGAGAATATAAAAGTACCATGAACTGCCAGAAGAATATAAAAATCTATGTTGGAAGAAGTATAGTCAGAATGCTCCTTAGAAGCCAGGATGGCCATACTTCGTCTCTAATAATTTGGACATATTATCAGGAGGGACCAGTTCCTACAAAAGGACATCATGCTTGGTAAAGTGGAGGGTCAGCAAAAGAGAAGACCCCAACAACATGGACTAGCACAGTGGCAGCAGCAATGAGCTCAAGGGTAACAACTGTGAGGACAGCGCAAGACTGGGCAGTGTTTCATTCCATTGTCCATAATGTCACTATGAGTCAGAACCGCCCTGACAGCATCTAACAACAACAACATGGTAGTGCTGTGAGTTAGGTGCTGGGCTACTACTAACCATAAAATTGTTGGTTCAAACCCACCAACTGCTTTGCAGGAGAAAGATGAGGATATTTGCTCCTGTAAAGATACACAGTCTCAAAAACCCTAAAAGTGTCATGGCCATTATGAGTTCTCAACTCAATGGTTTGGTCTTCAGTTTTATATTACAATTAATTCAATCTGACCTTAGCAATAGCATTTGAAAGTTGGACAATGACTAAGGAAGACCCCAGAAGACCTGATGGATTTGAATTATAGTGTTTGACAAGAATATTAAAAGTACCACGGGCTTCCAGAAGAACATACAAATCTGTGTTGGAAGCAGTGCAGCCAGAATGTTTCTTAGATGTGTGGACAGTGAGATTTTCTTTCTTCCACTTTGGCCATGTTATCAGGAGGGGCCAGTCCCTGGAGAAGGACATCATGTTTGGTAAAGTAGAGGGTCATCAAAAAAGAGGATGATCCCAACGAGATGGACTGGACAGCAGCAGCAGTAGCAATGGGCTCAAACGTAACAACTGTGAAGATGGTACAGGTGGGCAGTGTTTGGTTCTGCTGTACATAGTAGGACTACTATGACTTAGCCAACTTGATGACACCTAACAATAACATGAGTTGGAACCAACTCAGTGGGTTTGATTTTGGGTTTTATATTTCCATTAATTGAATCTGGCCTTAGCAATAACTATACTCCAACAATCAGTTATATGAGGGTAAATCAAAGGCATTGCTACTAAAAGCTCTAGTTCATACATGCATAGGTTTATTCCACACACCAACGTTTTTAGACATGTCTCTGTGATCAGTGGATGGCTACAGATGAGTTATCTCACTAATACATTTGTCTTAGTGTCATTGTTGTTGTTAAGTGCCGTCCAGTTGGTTCCGACCCATAGCAACCATGTACAGGGTTTCCAAGGAACAACTGGTGAACTTGAACCGCCAACCTTGCAGTTCAAACCAACTTTGCAATCCAGCACATTAACCCACCGGCCTTCCCCCGGGCTTTTGATTTTCTTTGGGGACCTTGAAAAAAAAAAAGATCCAATCAAAACAGTGGTTTTTGAGGTGCGTTGGTGGGCCAGTTTAATTCAATGCAGCAGCTCAGAAGGTTATGGTGACTGTTGTCTAGGATTCCACAGTGGCAGTTTTGACAAATTTTCTCAAAGGATACAGGTCTATTATAGGGGAATATTAGAAATTTTAAAGAAAGCTACATTGGTGAGAAAAATGCCAGCAAAGTTGCACTGAAGCATTTTTTTTCCATCACAATATACCTGGTCATTCTTCAAGGATAGCAAAAGATGGTCCTAAGCATTTCATTGGGAAATCTTACCCCATCCATCCTACATTCCTGATCTTGCCCCTTCAGACTTCTTTTTGTCTCCAAAATTGAAACGATATTTAAAAGCATGATCTGAATCCCCAGAGGACACAAACTCATTTGACATGGTGTAAATTAAAGAGCACAGAATTCTTGGGGAACAGTTAGAGCGATGGAAACACTACCTTTAGACGTGTACAGACCTAAATGGAGGGTATGTCAAGAAACAATAACTTCACATATTGTATTTTTATTTAATAAAGGGGTCTATGATTTTGTAGCAATACTTTTTGACTTACCCTAGTATGTAGCTGATATCAATCTTAGCAAATGGGACTCAAGATCCATAGATGCAAGAGAGATGCTCTACATGACTACAGTTCTATTATGTGTAAGCTTCATGTGTTATTCTTAGGACTAAAATGAAGGCCATCATGAAAAGAATAGTGGAAACTACCAGCTGCTCTGCGGGAGAAAGATGAGGCATTCTACTCCCGTAAAGATTTACACCCTCGGAAACCCTGTGCAGGGTCGCTATGGGTCGGAACCG